TGTGTTTAACCGAGAGCAACAGCAATTTAGAAAGAATTGATCTACGATTTCTAGTCCCCAAACAGGAGAGCTGTCTGCAGAAGGGAATCTGATATGTGCTTTGGGATTGATTTGCCTAATGACTTTGCCATTTCAGGGCATGTTTCTGGAAAGGTGCTGAATACAAACTCTCTGAGTTCATATGCCTGTGCATAACATTAAAAGGGAGAGTTTTTATGGACTTCCACACTTTCTGGACAATCACTGAAAAGATTGCTGACTGGATCCAGCGTAAAATCTTTCAGTACCAGATATTACTAGGACCTCTAGGTCAGGTATTTATCCTGAGCTGCAAGGTGCATATTAACTTTGTCTCCTTCACTATTACTTTGAATTCAACAATTTTACTTGGGGTCCAACCAGCTATTATTCTGCATACTTTGATGTTGAAGAGTAGCTCTGCAAGTACTTGTGTATTCAGTTAGAAACAGACCAGGAGGTGATGACCTTCATTAGCCTGAAGTGTTCATTCAAGTGTACTCTGGATTATTAACAGAAAATAAAATAAATAAAAAGAAAACCCAAAGCCATAAAATGTCTGCATTATGAACACAAGTTGTTTTTGTAGGAATTTGTTAGATAGCTCAAGTAATTTTTCTTCCTTTACTTATATGCAATGATGGTGGGAGGGTTGCTTTCTGTGCATCTGTTCTATAAAATAAATGTGGCTGGAGAGCTGAAATTGGAGTACAATTAATGTTTTTAACAACAGAATGAAAGCATTTATTATCTTCATGCAACAAGATAAGATAGGTTTATAGGTGTGAATAAATGCTGTATAGGTTTGAGGAAAGTTTACTATAACACACCTAATTTTACCAGTTTATTGTTCTGCCTAGTCTAGTTTTCAGTCTCTGGAAGGGTTTATTACTTCAAAGGAACAGGCAAGATCTAAAAATAAAGCGAGCATAGAGGAAAAAGAGTTCCTCTCTTGACTTTTACAAGCTGTCACTTTATGCATTGCAAGATGAAATGTAGTTAGCATTAGATCATTATCTTGCCTTAACTGTTCTGTGGGGCTTTGTTGTTGTTTTTTCTCAGTTTGTGGGTTTCTGGGGTTTTTGTTTGTTTGGTTTTTTAAAACTGGACAATCCTGAGCTCTGCTGTTGATCTCTGTTTACTACATGATCTGTGAGGGTCATTGTTTTCCTCTTGTAATTCTCTCAGAACCACAAAAATACGTGTTTTGCATAAAGTTGCTTTTTGAAGCTCTTATTTCAATATTATAGAAACAGCTGGTGAAGACTTAGGCTTTATTTACAGTACCAGGTTTATTTCTTCTTTTAAGTATTATGATTAGTTCAAGAAATACTAGTTGTTTTGAACTGGTGCTGATGTATAAAGTAACCTTGCTAATCAACTAATTGCTAATATTTTTGTTATTGTCTCATATTTTCAACACTTAATAAGGAGGAATATAGTGAGACACTTTCAATTTATTCGCATAATTCATGTAGATCAGCATAGCTCAAAATAAGAACAGAAATGCCCTCTCAGGTCAGACCTGTCTTGCCTAGTGGAGGTAGGAGACACTAATTACTTTAGGTATTTTTTTTATCTCTACTGCTATGAACTGAAAGACTGACTGTAAAATATGTTACATGCTCAATTTGGAGTACTGTAATAATGCTTATATCACTCATTATACCATTTAAATGCTATAATGATAGCAATAAAAATATATAAATAGCTAAAAAGGAGTTTTATCTTTGCCTTTACAAAACTTACCAGTTTTCTCATTGGGATTAAACATCTTAAAGGCACTGAACAACCACAGCCTCTCTTCATACTTACTTAACAACTGGCAAGATTGGGCTGCATCACCTTTTCCCATTTGAAGGGAAGGGAAAAGCTCCTGCTGACTTCTAGGGCAGGTGAGATTGAGGCCTGGAATAACTTTCTGTGGATGCTTGTAGATAGACTCAGACTCCTTTAGGTGTGTTTCTAAGCTTTCAAGTAAGTTCCAGCTTGTGATTCCAGAAAATCCTGCATGTGTTTTAAAGTAATTAATTAATATGGTGCAGGTATGGATGTGGTCTGCATAGGCTTTATTGTAATACTGCTCAGAATACATACTTGTATAAAAGCTTTGCTTTTGAGACTCAGAGAAACAGTGAGCAACAGATGGACTGTCTATGCAGTACTGTACTAACAACGTTAGCAAAATCCTGCCAAAATGTAGTAAGTTTATTAAGTATGAGGTGACACAGTATCTGTATGATTCAGATAGAAAATGGGTGCCCAGCTTGGGGTGCAGGTGCATCTTGTATAGAAACAGCTGTAAAAAATATTCATGTATATGCATAGGACTTGTTTTTGTGCTGGTGTGTTGTCATGGACGTGCATGAACAAGTACATTGTCAACAGGAGTGCATTAAGGGCACTTTGCAGACAACATGCCTAACTAAGCATTTGGCACCGACCTAAGCCTAACGTCCTTCTTTATGAGGCAAGATTAGCACTGGAGTCCCCAAACTGTGATTCCAACAACTCTGGTGCCAAATTATCTACTGAGCTGACCACACATACACAGAAATAGTGCCTAACAGCTAAAAGGACTCCAGGAAACAAACTTGCATCTGGCCAACTTCCTCATAAGCAGAGGAGCATGAGTGCATCTAATTAAAAATGCACCATTGTTGGGGCAGTTTACAATATATATAATATGAGGAAGACTAAAGCACCTGAAAAAGATTCACTGACTGATCAGGAGCCCCCTAGAATTATTTGAAGACTTGGAGAAAGAGAAGTTGCAGGTTTCTAAATCACAGTGGTTAAGCACCTTGGAAGGAGTAACTGACATTCTTTCTGTGCTTTCATTTGTGCTCTGGCTACCAAATAATTATTGAACTGTGGGAGTGGGGGGAGAAAAGAAACAAAAGAACTGAAGTAATTCTTAAAAAAGACACTAGAACACAAAATTGTCTTCTCCCAGTACTTGGTATCGAAGCTTTTAATAAATCTTCTCATGCTGGTTTGAGCCTGATTCTTAGGCATACTTATGGGACTGGATACCTCTGACCTCATTTTTAGATGACAGCAGCTTATAATAAGTTAACTAAATAAGTTAACTAATGACCTGGTCAGCCCTGGTTTCTGAGATGGGCAGTGGCAGAACTGCAAGTGATGGAGCTCTGGCTTAATGCTCCTGGTCTGGTTCTTGCTCTGATTTGAGGCACCTAGCAAGGGACTTGGGTAAAATTCAGGTGTTCAAGCACAATTTGTCATAAAAGGACTTCATCACAAATATAATTTGAGTGGAGCATTAATTTTAAATCCTTAGAGGTATCTAATCCAGAGGTGCCTTTAATTTTTATTCTGAGATTTCCACAGCGCTCAGTGCTTCTGGATGGTTGAAGAACTGTTGGTTATTCTGGACATTGTTCTGCATGCTGCTGTGTTTTATTCACTTATCACTCAGTGAAAATAAAGAATTTTTTTATCTGGTTACCCTCTAAGTGGTGGACTGAAAATATAGTACTTTGGTACCCTAGATCCCTCAACCATAGATTTTTCACTCAAGAAGTAGGCAATTCAGCAGATACACTGGTACCAATGATAATCACATAAATGACTCCCTTGTTCAAAGGGAGTGTTATAGCTCCTTTTCATATGTGATAGCTCACAACCATCACAGCCTTAAGTATTAGGCTCAATTTCTCAAATTGGGTCCCCTGTTATTAGCAGGATGTAGCAAAATTCTGCTGTATACTTTGCTAGAAAATCTACTGAACTTAAATTTAAGTTATAGATTAAAGCCAAGACATCTGAGTCTTTCTCATCAGAAGAATGAACACTTGAACAAAACACATACAACATCTCAGTTTAATGAGCTTTGTAGGTGGCAGATATATTAAAGAAATATATTCTGAGCTTAATTAGAATTACAAAAAATCAAGAAATGGTAATTTGTAACATCATTGATAATACCTGCAGACATTTAAGCAACCTGTTTTCTGATGTAATAATGTGAAGGACAATTAATAAAAAAACCCAAACAAATCAAAACAAATCAAAACAAAACCCCCTCTGAAGAGTTCCTGGAATAAAAGCAGGAAAAGATAATTTGACACTTGTTATTTCTGCAGGAAAACTCCTTGTTCAAAAAGAAGCAGCACTTGGTAGAAACTGATTATAATAATTTTTCTGGTCTCTTGGACCCCAGCACACATCTTAGGCTACTTTGACTTGCGATTTCTGCTGCACAGGAACACCCACAACTCCAGTGCTCCCATGCTGGCCATACTGCAGTGCTATGTTCTTGATAGCATAGGGTACAGACAGTATGCAGCATGGTATGTGTGGCATGATGTGTTACTGATGATTGTGATTGATACTGCATTGCTGGATTTGGTAAATTGATAATAAGTTACCTGAAGCAAGTACAGTGGTGATCTAATCAAAGAATCGTAGAATAGTTTTGGCTGGAAACGACCTTTAAGATCATCAAGTACAACTGTCAATGCTTGACGTTGCACGTACTGCTTCCCCCGTTACTAATGCACCTTGCTGTCTTTCACAAAGCACTGAGATCCTTGAGCAGTGCAGCAGGTAGTTTCTTTTGGTTTTTAAAGGGACTTTTAGCAAAAGATCTCAGATCTGTGAGCTACTGCAAATTAAAGCTCCGCTACTCTGGGTTAAGCCCAATTTATTACAAATGACAAAACTGGGACAAAGAATTGAAGACTGTTACCTAAGTAAGCATAGCAGTATCTGTCCTATCTTGTTTTCTACATCTCGTTTTTCTACATTTGAAAAACTTTTAACTTACTCTAGATAGTATCATATATATTATTATATAAGTAATCCTGCTACTTGGATCTATTCGCATTTCCTTTCAGATAAGAAGTATTCTGTTTGTTGTTTTCTTTTTTTAAAAAATACCAATTGTAGATTTTGTTGAAACTTTAACTTACTTGGCGGGGGGGCGGGGGGGAATGTTTTAACTGGGCACAGCACTTGACTCCACTTAATTAGTGGAATCATTGTGTTAGACTATTCAAATTTCCAAGCATTCGGACTAAAAGTTCGTTAAGATAAGACATGTAGGTTAAAACTTAATTATCATCAAAGTCAACTGGCACAGGAGCTAGGTATAAGGCTGCTTGCGTTTTGGATCCTGAGCAATGCAGAGAGCAACACATTCTTCTGTTCTCTTCCAGCAGTACCTGGAAAAAGAGATATGATCCAATGTGTATGAGGGGAATCACACACTCAAACCAACTAAAACATTGATGCTACTGAAAAGTACAGGAAAACAAACAGGTTCAGTTCTGATTACACTTGTTCTCTTTCCATATTGCTATGTCTTGTGATATTTCAGGGAACTACTCTTCACCATTACTAATATAAGCCAAACATCATGACATGGTAGGGAAGAATGTATATCTACTTATGGATGAATCAAGGTGGAAAGCATCTATTCTGATTTTGATGACATGAGAATTGGAACAGAATCACCTCTGTACAGCTATTATTTTAATGAAACAATTTCTAGTAATTCAACAGTATTTTTCTTGTGGTCATTGCTTTTGTATTAGTTATTTCTGGGCCAGTTGCAGAGATGGCCAGAGATCAGAGCGCAACAGTGATGCATACAATAAACAGTGCCTATTGTACAGATCTGATAAACATCTTAATGCAATATGAACTGTGCTGGCAGATTTCTGCACGTGCACCATGCCATGATTTGGAAAACATATGCTCGCTGATTGGACTGCAAGACTGGGAAATAATTTAAGATAAGTGATTTCACAGAAGTGATGGAAGTAATGGTGAAGGGAGGTGGCTATGTGTTGGAATCACAGGTGCAGAGAACAGTTCTGTGCACAGCTGGCTGGCTTCAGCTCTTTCAGCAAATGTCTTCAGTGCTGTACAAAAGTGCAAATGTCAGCACTACTCCTTATTAGATTTGTCCTGTAGGAAAGAAAGCCATTTTTATCATCTGCCTATAATCTGCTGCATTGCGTTATCAGTGAGTATACATCATCCTTAATCTTCTTCAGGGTAGGCAATTTATCAGCTTATGCCACTCTTCACAAGATTTGGCAAGTACTTTCCCTTTCTGTTCTCTCTGGAAACAATTTTCACTGTTTTGTTGTTTTTTTTTTTTTTCCTTTACATATATCATATGTGTCATGGTTATGAAACAGACATATGCATCCTACTCCAGGAAAGAGAGCTATGTTCTTAGTCTGAACCCCAAATCTTTCTGCAATGGTGTTGATTAAGCCTGGTCTGAAGCTCAGAGTATCTGCTGTGGTTGCCAGTTGGTGTATTTGTGCTGTCTACCTTCATGCATGCTCTTTTGCATGCTGCTTTTTCTTGGTAGTGCTTTTTTATTTTCCCCAGCTTTAATCCCAAAAGGTGAACCAGAATGAATGTCTCATTTTGTTTCTTCCTGAAGACACTTCTGCCCTGAGGAATAATGGAGGCTATTGCAAATCCGGCATTCACAGATGATGGGTTTCTGAACCAGCTGATGCCCCACCTGGTGTGGACCAAATACACAGAATTTATCTTGTTGGAAGCTGGGAAATCATATATTGAAACACTGTTCATCTCTACTCACGTGGACTGGGCACGGACAAGCAGGCTGTCACCAGCAGATAGAGTCAGGGTTCTACCATCCATGGTAACAGTAGATGTGCCCTCCTGAAGGGAAAGAACAGATAACCAGCTTTTAATTTTCCATTTCCTGTTGCTAGCAGGAAGAAAATGCTGCAGGTAAGTATGAAAATCTTTCCCACTGAAAGAGCACTTCAAACCTGCTCTGTTTCATGAGGCCTAGCTAAATATTCAGCTGATCTTCCCTCTCTGACACTATTAGCATCAAGAAAAACATGTTTCATGGTTCGTTGTTCCCCATCATAAAGCAGCAACTCATTGCCTGACTCTTGGGGGTACACTGCTACCAATCTAACCTAGCAGCCTACAAGTTGGTACAGCTCTGGAAATTACAGAGATGACCTCCTGGAGTACTTCAAGCTCCTCTTCTACTTTTCTGATTCCTAATAT